ACTTGCGCCTATAGGTACCAGCATACGGAGTAGTACATGATAATATATATTGTGAAACGCCGGAACGAAGTTGAAATGCAAAACCAAAAAAAGACCAGTTCGCAGTGGAAAAAAGGCAAAACGGCCCCAATTCGAAAAATTGTAACGTACAATACGGACTCGGTTCACCCCCGACCCAAAAACAGCCAAAACAGCCACTGAACAACTTTCTCTTTTTATTAACATCCACGGTACTCCGTACAGACCGCCAAATCTGTCAAAAGAACCAAAAAGAGGAATTTCGGACGGTCCACTCAAATCCAGGAACCTCAGAGAATCCATGGGATCCTTCAAACCTAACGTACATGACGTAGACTTGCCGATCTCTGTTCTTCTCCCTACCCCTGACAGTGACGATCGAGACTGCAATCAGCCCGGGAGCGGGCGTGGACCAGAGGAGCTGTATTCCGTACGGCTGTATGTTGTACGGAGTACAGCTTAACACGTGTTTCTTCCCGTTACTTTGCGCATTCTTGTCCCGGTTCTTGTGGTTGGCGCTTCGGAGTAATCTCTGCCATCAAAGAGCATTTTGACTTTTTAAGGTGTACCGTGGCTATCTTCAAGGTTAACTACATTATTGCGCAATATAAAAATTTCAATGTGTGGAGATATATCTTCGGGAAATGGTCGAATTGATAGAGTATACAAGTGGGCCTTATTGATGGCTCCTCGTGTTGGTGTGGGTTGCCCCCCCTCATCTGAAGTCAGATTAAGCATATCTCTGTTCCAACCCTTTTTTTCGTTTTTCTCCGTTGCATCCATGTCCAGTGTCCACCACTGCCAGTGGGGTCTCAGGGGTGGATGGTGGAGCTTACAGGATTCTTCCCGGGGATCCCAGCGCAAGGCATGTTGTACAGGGTACCTAGCCGAGGGGGAGGGAGACGGCTGCTTGGTTTCGGTACTTTAGGGATTGAGTTGGATTTTAAATAGTCGGCTTCGTGTCTGGGCTTGTTTTTAAGGTCTAGGCATTTGTTGATTGGTTTGCTACTTTCTTAGAGGGCAAGTGGTGTAGGTTCTCCCTTCGCGTGGAGGTAGCATGTACAAAGTGCAACCAAGAGACGATCAGCAATTTACATGGTTGTCCTGCAGTGTATATTTCTTGCATATTAAGCTCTGGCCTATTCTTTGAAACCCATAATATCATTTACGGTGGAATATGACGTGCTCTATGTTGTATACTCCGTATCCATCCTTGAGTAACCCTAATTCGGTTATATATGCAAAGGATCAATTCTTCTTCAGCTCCTCCCTGTGGTATAATACAGGTGATATAACGTATAAAATCATTTTATCCCCAGTAGAATGTCATACGGATCTCGTACAGTGAACCTTCTCTCAGCCATATGGAACTGGTGGAGTAGTGGGTTTGCTCCATTTTCTACATCAAGAACCACACGGCCATCCGAGCCTTAAATCAATCCAAGAGGGGCACTGGGTCGGGCTCCATGTGACTCTGTCAGATCGATCCATATTTATGGAGCCAGATCTATATTGTGCTTTCTGACAGGCAGGTGGCAAATGCTTACATCTTTGTCGGTGGATTCTGCGGCCATCACTACTACTCACAGATAGAAGTCTCTGCGTGAAGACGAAGATATTTTTGTATTGCATGCATCAGATTGAGAGCTTTAAGACTCTTTGACTGGCGGTCTTCATCCGTCTCTACTACTTGGCTACTAAGAGATGGAAGGTATCAAACAAAACCACCGAAATCGCCCCGGAAATGTAATAACGTGCGACATGCCTCGAAGAGGCGGCTATGACATTTAATATTATATTAAGCTATAGAGTACCAACATAGATATCGAACCTTGAACCAAAACTGGAATACCACTTCTGCACAAACTCGGAGATCTAGATCGGATTATCTGGATCATCCGCCTTGCGCGACAAAGCAGTTGCCTCGGTCGCTGGAAAGTCAGGCTCGATACCCTCACTAATGATCGGCTCCTGCTCAATCGCATGAATGGCATGCTCAACATTGACCACAGGACCTTTGAACCAGCGATGGGCATCAATAAACCACCAAATTGTAACCGCCACCATTGGTGCACCCCAAACAAGACAAGTCCAATTCATGTCATCAGGCGTCAAGTTCTTGCCAGTAACACTAGGCAAACACAATATCGGGACCATCAAAAACACAAACGTAACACCAACAGCACCGATATACGGACCAAAGGGGCCTAGATGCCAGGGGCCCTTGCGGAACCGATCACCGACAAAGAACACCCGAATGGTGATAGGAATAGCAAAAGCAAAGAACTGCGCAATAGCGCCGATAGAGAATAAAGCGCCGATCGCCACTTCCCCGGCTAGAATTAGAAGACACATCAAGATGCCGAGGATGGTATTCAGAACAACTGCATTCACCGGCGTCTGCGTAGACGGATGCACCCGCTTCCAGTAATTCGAGAATGGAAAACAGTCGTCACGAGCATAGGCATATGTGACCCGCGACGCGGCAACCATACACCCCTGGCCCATGGAGAACCCACAGACAATCGTCAAGGCTAGTATAGCGATAGCTGTTTTCTGTGGCATGACCTGCAACAAATATGACGCCCAGGGCTGCCCCAGGTCGGAATCGATAACGGCCTCGATATCCAGCACCGTGTATGCAACAACCAGCTGTAAGAACCAGCCCATCAGCCCACCTACGCCGGAGGTGAGCACGATTGCGCGCGGCGAGGCGATACTCGCATTCGAACACTCTTCGCTCAAATGGAAGGGCGAGTCGTAGCCAGACATCGTCCAGATCACGCCGACAAAAGTCATGAGCACGGCGACGCCGTCTGGGAAATCGGTTAGGTTTGTTATGTCGCCCCATACTTTTTTGGAGGGTGTGAACTTCGGGCTGTTTGTTGTGTTGGCGGGGATCAAGATGAGGACTGCGATCAGCGCGATGAAGTTGAATGTTGAGCCCCATGAGTTGAATTGCGCTACGCGCTTTGTGGACATGCTGCTGATTCCAGCGTGCACGATCATGATAAGGGTTGTCAGCAGGAAGGTCTGCCATAGTGTCGGGGTGTAGTTTGGGTTGTTGATTGAGACTGCTGCGAGGATCATTGCGGCGAGCGAGTAGTTGACTGATGGCGCTGCAGTTATCTGTCCGATCCAATTAGACCAACCGGTGATCCAAGCGGCGAAGGGTCCGTAGCCTGGAGGTGCGAGGACTGCGGCAGCGTAGTATAAACCACCACTGTATAAGACGTTAGCCTTCCCCGAGCACCAAGTTCTCGGATGCGATATCGAGCAGTAAATTATACCTAGTCGGCATTGCTGAACATAGCTCGGCCATTGACATTGCAATGCATTGGATAAATATCATAGCAATAATCCAACCCCATACCATACCCGCCGTTCCGGCATATCCCATTCCTGTAACGCAATCAACGTCAGCTATATCTTACACCCAATATAACACGCACATGTTTTTAAGCACTCACCATAATACAGGGTACTCGCAAACGATGGTAGCAGCCCCAGAACAGCAAAGCTGACGCAGAAAGTCGTCCATAGCGAAAACTCGCGCTTGAACTCTTGCTTGTAACCCAGCGCCGTGATCGCCCTCTCATCGGCATCCATATCATGGTCCGTATAGGGCACATCGCCATCCGGGAGCACAGAAGTCACTTGGGCATTGTTAACCTCGTGGTGGTCTTTAGAGATGTCCGAAATGGCAGTTTTGGTCTCCATGCTTGCGCCCATGACCGAAGTAAACAGGCGTGCCGCACTTAATGTATGCGATATATATACCAACGAAATAGAATGATGACTATGCAAGGGATGAACAAGAATGTTTTCACCTTCAAGCAACAGTCTAGGGAAGTGGAAATATAATAAAATAGCTCAGTATTGACCAGACAGGGGGTGGCATCATCTTATCTACGCATAGCACGGGGCATATTGCCTTTCGCCCCGCGCATGGGCGATCTCAAGGACCAACTAGACATGGGTTTCTAAACAAGCTGCAACAAGGCCAGGCCTAACCCGGAATAATAGATATCGGACGACCCGACACCGTTGCACAGCAAAGAGTGGTAGATATGTGAGGGGAACGTCTCATGGAAACCAGGCTCCCCAGGTCTTTCCGCAATGTACTTCGTACAAAGAGGCGCGATAAGAGCATATGACATCGGTGTTGATAAATAAAAAAAGATATAATGAGCCGAGTAAACGGATATATTATTCGAACATGGGAGTGGCTTCACTCTGCAAGCTTGTGATTTGCAGAGACCGGAGATATCACCGCTCATTTGTGGCACAGGGCTTCGACGATCGGTGCTACAAGCTTGGCAGAGAGGTAGCCAGTCCCAGCAAGGAAGCTCCAGGCGTTGTATTCACGGGACTTATGCCCTAAGAGAAGTTTAGCGTGGTACTTGCAGCAGATGTACACCCGCGCAACATGGCTATCATGATAACAAAGATAAGGGCTTGACTCGTGTCGATCGTGCTCAGGTGCTGATTAGCTACGAGTATATTTGGCTTTCTGACACCCTCTAGGGCTGTTATTATCCTTTTGAGGCTTCTTATCTGAGGATGGACCTGCCGTGTTGGGGAAGAGGCTTTGGATTGAATGCTGGAGAACCCCTGTTTGCATGGCATTTATATATTCCGAAGTCCAGTCCGCGACAGTGTTATTCAGTTACACACGCGTGGCTAGTTCGGAAAGGACCCCCATAAAATTTCCGAATCTCCGAGGTATATAAGAGTCCTGGAGTTCCCAAGAGCTCTAGATTTCTCAGCCCCATAATCTCAGGGAAACTTATAAATGGATACTGTACAATCACACATACGGACCATGACATACATATTTACTTTGAAACAACTGTTTCTATGTGGTATTAAAAACAGAAAAGACTTTCATCGCTATTCTACACACAACCCCAGCCTGTCCCTTGAAAGTCCCGATTCATATCGATCAACAGGGAGACAGGTATGTACCATCGGCGAATCATTTAGAAGGGCTATAAGAGTATCAGCATCAAATTCAAGTCTCCAAATCAACTGTAATTGACTCACGTTGTCCTCGGGGGCGATGGAGCGGTCGTAGTAGGTATCGAGGAAAGGAAGCTTGCGGAGGATGTCGTTGCGGACACGGGGAACCTCGCCGAAGATGAAGAGAGCACCGCTGCCAAGGGCAACACCGAAGCTAGCAGCAAGGGTGCCACTGTTTGAAATGACATTAGCCCCTGTATCTTGTCCCGCCGAGGAGCATCGATTGAGGGATATACTCACGCCTGGATGGCTGTGCCAAGGGTCATACCGGCGACGGTGCGGGGGACGGTGTACCTGCAAATTAGCGAGGCGTTAGCTTTGTGCTCTTGTTGCTTGTTTGATCTGCCTTCTTCGAGTCCAGCTTTTCCCCCGAAGCCCTCGGGCTTGTAATCCCCGCTACCCTTCGGACATTGCCAGACACCCGTCAAGCACCGCTGCGAAAGAGGAAAGACAGGCATCCAGTCAGCTAGGATAGCTGCGTTGTTGGCGAGTGCCAATCCATGCTCTATTCGCTTCGTCCAACACGCTGACTACCGGCTAAGATGTACTACCCGGGGTTCGAGGGAAAAGAATGCGGGGGATCTCACTTGGGCGCATAAGCGGAGGCCTGGGCCGCGGCGCGGCGAGCAGTAGGGGCGAACTACAGGACATTTGTTAGCAATTGATGTGACATCTTCCATCGCGTCTCATCCCGCGGCTCGGAAGCCGGTTGTGATAGGGTCCTCTCCCCGGAAAGCGGTCGAGTGGGTAAGAAACATCGGAATAGAATACGAGGTTTCTCCATTCTCTGAGTGTGAGAACACTTACCATTTTGAATGACACCGGAGTAATTTGGTGGGACAATTGCTAGGAGACAGGAGCTGGCACTTGGTGGTCGACGAAAACCGGGAGTGCCCGAGTTAGCACGTGACCTCGAGGCTAGTGGCCAATGAGAGGAGGCGTAATTGTTTTCGTTCGACCTTTGGAAGTATGAGATTGTATTGAGCAGGCGAGGATAGGATTTATGTGAGAGAATCATTTTACAATGCTACAATTTGGGTTTGTCTCATATTATCTACCATTTGTACACAAGAAACCCGTGAAATACATACATCGTCTGTCGTCGACGGACGCATCAGATGGTCCCTCATCAACTGAACGTGCCAGAATCGAGCACATATTTTTGTGGGCGAGGGAGGGTTATACTCGCAGAAGAAGAGACGCGCCTTCCTGAAACATTGGAAGATGATTTCCTTTACATCATGAGACGGCTGTGAAAGAACGAACGATCAGAAGCGCAAGTGAGAGAACCGTAACTTCTCGAGAGAAAAATATTATAAGATTATGGAGCTAATACGAGGGAGCCTTGCTCTCGAGAAGCTGCGCCTAGACTCCGAAAATTCATGGGATGGAAGGAAATGCAATAAGATATGTGCTTCGAAAACCCCTCAGACTGACATGCAAAAAAAAGATTCAATTGAGACAGGATTGAACAGACGCATGACGAGGAAAGCAGCATCAATCAAATACAGTGGAAACAAAAGATTATAAGAACCGCGTAGCCAAACACCCTAACTGTACATTTGTCTCATTAGTCGACTTTGTCGGTGGAGCCTCCGTTGAGGAAACCCTCCTTGCCGTCCAGGTGGAAGAAGCCACCGCTGTTGTTGGAGTTGCCAATAATGCCACCGCGCGCAGCACTACGTCTGAGGCGTCCACGCCCAAAGATGGCGGCCACAGAAATCACGGCACCCAAGATGATGAAGAAGATGACGGGATGGCTGCTGAGGAGGGATCGAGTAAAGAAGAAGATAGTCTCGAACGTGCCGATAGTGGATTTGGGTGACAGCTTCGAAGGGGAAGCAATGACGAGAGGAATAGTCTCAAGAATGGAGGTACGCGAGGCCATAATAGGAGCTCCGCTCGAAGCAGTATCCCAGTAGCGGCGGTTCTAGAAGAAGTCAGTTATAGTGCTCGAACAAACATCACGAGGGGCAAATTACATCTTGATCATTAATAATAACGCGGTCACTAGTTTCCACGTCGATGCCGTAGGTCGTGCGCAGCCAGCGCTCCCAAAAGTCGCCATCGACCCAAGCAAATGCGACTTGCTTCTTGTCGTCCTCGCGGATCGTGATACGCATGTTCTTCGCAGCCCGCAGTGCACGCTGATCATTGCGGTCATCAGCTTCTTCGATACGTAATTGTTTGGAATCACGAAGTTCGGCTCGCTCGAGGCGGAACAGCTGAACTTGCTTGTCCATCCATTCAAGAGCGGCTTCCTTCAGCTCGCGCTTGGACTGCTTGAAGTCATCGCTACGGCGGCGGCTGAGGAGTCCCAGAACCACAAACTTTCCGTCCATAATTTCTTGAGCATTGGATGCGGTGAGTTCAGGTACGATGGGAAGCCACACAGTCTGCATCCACGACAGAATTTGACGGAAATCTCTCATATCCTTAGGAGCAAGGGCATTATAGTAGTTGGGACGTCGGTCGCGGACGACCAAAAGACGAGGCCAAGTTGAAATCTTGAACCGCTCGGAAAGCGCAGCACTGTCACTCTTGACAATGCGAGCGTGTCCCACAAGACTGAGCGTGAGGCGATTCATGGCCTCAAAATCTTCAGATGTCGTCGCGTGATCGTAGAGATACAGGAACAAAACCTCTTCGGTTTCTTCCAACTGCTTAAAAGTAGTCGCATCAACATCCTGAATGCTTGAGCCCACACCGACAGCTTTGTTAGTGTACGAGATTAGATCTCCCAAGCCACGAAGACCAGTATATTCGACTCTCTCACCACCACGGAAGAAGTAGATTGTCGGGTATGCGTTGACGCGAGCATCTTCGCAAAGTCGCTTCTCAAGTTCACAGTTCACTTCGCCAACATTGAGAGTATCCTTCATCTCCTTGGCCATCGAGTTCCAGTTCGGGGCTAGAGCCTGGCAATGATGGCACCAAGGAACGTAAAACTTGATGATCCAGGGATCATGGGTAGTCGTGACAAGGCTTTGGAAGCTCTCCGCAGTGAGTGGGATGGAAACACCTTGGGGATTAGCAGGCCGTCCTTGGAGTTTGGCCTTGACAGACTCAGGGCTAACGCCTTCCAACTCCGCAGTCTCGATACTCTGCTTCTCAACAGCTGTTTTCGCACCGGGCTTTATCACTTCGGGTTTGGCGGTCATTTCCATATTCTTAGCGTTAGCCTTTGGGATTTGGACGCCTTGCGAAGGTCGGGACCCAGGCTTGATCTTCTCGAGCTTGGCTTCGACCATAGCGGCAATCTCTGACATCGTTTTGGCACCAGCGGGTGGTTCGCTTTGAACTCCCATATCATAGAACGCCCACGCTGGGAAAAATTCGACATTCATCTTCTTGCAGAAATCGCCAAAGGCCAGGCAATTAATGGACCCGAAATGGAAATTGTAGTAGCCAGTGAAGGAGTCAAGAGACGAGAGCGCATCTGGCTTCAAACCAGAGAGAAATAAGGGATTTGAGGTCTATCACTAATCAGATTCAGGCCCCAGAGATTGAAAATAATGGAATGACTACTCACGTAATAGTACTCATATAAGGTCTGGTACAATGGGGCCGCCGTCCGGCAATGCGGGCAATTAGGGGAATAATGTTTGATCATCCTAGAATAATTAGAGCCTTGAGCGGTTTCTTGATTGCTGCAGAAGGGATCCTCACCAGTGACCATCCTTGGTCACTTCCTCAAAATTGTCCGGGGTCAGCTGCGTCAACGGAGGCACTGTAATACCATTGAATACTGTGGGTGTGTCAGGGTCCACTCCGCGGCCACTCCGCTTGACAAGTGCGTCTCCGGATTCCTGGTCGGAGGAAGCATCTGAAGGCGTGCCCAAAGCAGGCGCTGCCAACAGTGAGAGGAGGGACCACCCTAGCCAAGACGGTTTCATTTTGGTGGAAGATAAAGGTGGTGGATAACTTCAATAGCAGTTTAAATGACAGTATAGGTGGTTTCAAGGTGTCACAAATGAAGGACTCTGGTCGAAATAGGGAGGGTAATCGCGAAATGTCACAGGTGGCACATTGAACGGGGGCGAAGACTGGTGGCTCGGGTGGGCACTGGTCACTTCACAGAAAGAAACAGCACTTAGCGACTATAGCGCCCCGTAGCTGAAAGCAAAATAGAACTGCACACAGTCCAAACAAAGAACCAGATGTGAGGCTTTGATGGTATCGGAAAAGGTGAGTTGCCTTTCCCCTTGCCGCTTGGGGTGGAACATCGGGTTAATCCGCTCCGGGCCGACTTCAACACTTCATCTCCCTGGAACAGACCGAGTTCAATACCACCAAATCCATTGACAATGCGTTCTACACTCCGACTGCTGGCCAATGTCAAGCCTCGGTATTTGGAGCCTTTTGCTCCTACCGGATTGACGGGCCTTTTCACCCACCCCAGCCCTCGCCCTACTTTAATCTACCTTTACTCGACTACTCTGCAGAAGTTGCAGGCGTTCCCCGAATCCTCCGCTTACCGCCAATCCGTCGAAGCTTTGACTCGCCACCGTCTCCAGGTCATTGAATCGCAAAAGCCCGCCGGATTCGATGCCTGGTTGGAGCGTGTGCGCAAGACCGTAGGATCCGAACCTGAGCGCTTCGCCAAGGTCCAGCGCGCCGACGGTAGCTACACCCACGCCGCTGCCCAACAGAAGGATGGATCCGACAATCCTCGTGGCGAAGAATGGGACGGTGAAGGCCTGTCAGCCACAACTGAGGGTCCCGCCCGTACCCCGCAACAAGAAGCGGAATGGCATAAAATCATGAACGAGGCTAGCGAGACCACCGAAAAGGCTGAGTTTGACTTCTACCACCAAGATATGAAATGGGAGAGCGAGCCAGCTCTTGATGCCGATCAGTACGTGCACCTGTATCTCCGAAGTTTCCACAAAAAATCGGGCAATAGCGTGCTAACCTGCGCAGGATCTCTCACGTTGAACAGCAAATCGGTGCCGGCCTTATTGAAGAGATCATTCAGGTCGCAGAGGCGGAGCTTAAGCTTGTGGATGAGTTGGCCAAGTCCAAGGTGTAAGTGAAATTCGAGGTTTGCGGTCTAGGCTTACTGCTGACACTTCTACAGGTGGGAGGAACTTGAGGAGAAGCCCCGACCTGGACAATGGACTTACTTCGAGCGCGGTAACTAAACAGCAATGCTGAACTGGCTGTGCATTTTAATCTCTGTAACTATTACTAGAGGTGTCGCTGTGTTTGAATACATTTTTTGTGGGTTTAATCATCTGAAATCTAGGGTTAGTCGTAGAACTACTAGATTGCACCTGATTTGTGTATTCGATCAACGAGGTGGTAGCAATAATTCCTCTGGGGAAATATTTGATGCGATTGACGCATCTTCATAGCATGGAGCTCATTAGTCTTCGTGTTTCACGTCTATATGTATTGCACATCGGTGCGATGATTATTTATATATACAGGGAAGTATATCACAAGTATTCAAGCTATTAGTCTTTCATCCAAAGCTCTACCTAGAGCCTAAGCTTATATTCTACTAATGTCATACAGCAAATCAGTATAGCTTCCTTCATGCAACTGAATCTGTAGGACATTTGTATAGTGAATAGACGGACTGGAAGGCGGTGAGCCAAGGCGGGAATCCCTTGTGGACACATACATTGCTGTCCCTGAATGAAGCGCTCTCACTCTAGCTTTCCTCCATCTCAATCCTTTATTAATTCCTCCAATTAATAACCTGCTCCGAGGATCGCTCCTCCCTGTTATTGGGCTGTCTGAGCGGCTCGCGGAATCACCTATCGCTGTTACAGGCCCAACGCCGCATCACACAAACACTCTCA